GAGATGCATCACAAGGAAGAGCCTATCAGAGTGTGGTTGGGTATCTGAAGGGTCGCTCTAAGCTTTTAATTGGGCAGCAAATCCCGAGCACAATCTGCAACTCTGCTCCCATCCGCCTTCCAACACCAGCAGTTCTGCTGTCACATGCTGTGAGCGCCATGAGCAAAGAGCCATACTGCACTGCAGGACAGCCAGCACAGCCTCACCCAACTGCCTAGAACCCGAATACAACCAAACAAGAGTCTGGCCAAGCATCACCACAACTGCAAGTCCTCCAGGCAACCTCCTGACAGCAGCACCAATGCAGCCAGTCCCCTAAACAGCATCAATGCAGCCAGTCCTCCAGACAGACAGCCCAATGCAGCCAGTCCTCCCGACAGAGAGCCCCAATGCAGCCAGTCCTCCCGACAGACAGCCCCAATGCAGCCAGTCCTCCAGACAGACAGCCCCAATGCAGCCAGTCCTCCAGACAGACAGCCCCAATGCAGCCAGTCCTCCAGACAGACAGCCCCAATGCAGCCAGTCCTCCCGACAGACAGCCCCAATGCAGCCAGTCCTCCTGACAGACAGCTGAATGCAGCCAGTCCTCCCGACAGACAGCCCCAATGCAGCCAGTCCTCCGGACAGACAGCTGAATGCAGCCAGTCCTCAGGCAGCCAATTCTGTGATGAGACGGAACAAAAACCACGTGTTAATACTCATTGAGCCCCAATGGACTGTGAACAAAGGAGGTCCACGCCCTCAGCCCTAGAGCAGCTACCTGGTAACATAAATTGCCTTCAGTCTCTGGCTCTTCTAGGCATGGCCTTGAAGAAAACGTCCGAACTGGCCCAACAACATGCACTTCATGTCTGAATGTACTGCCACCCTCAAAACCAGCCAGGTGAACTGTCACACTAGATGTTTGTAGGTTTCCTCGTGTCCTGCACTACTGAAATAATTCTGTGAAAATAGTTACTATGGAGGTATAAATTAAATCCTGAATCAATGGTGCTAAAGTACCAGTGAGCACCAAAATCATCTCAGAACTTGTTTACAAATGCAGGCCTCTGGAAGACTTTGCCATCTCCAAAAACCTTCACTTGTCACCAGCTGTGCACACAATTGATCCTAAAGTAGGTGCTCCTTGGGTCACACCCGCAGAAGCCCTGTGAGAGGCTGGCAGAGAAGCATTTGCAAAGCATAGTATAATGTACTTCCTACTTCCTCATACCCCAATCTGCATGAGTGAGGATATCCACCCACCTCACCCACGCACACATTAAATGCACAAGGCTGCTTTTGGCTGCAAAGAAATTTCAATATTCTTTCATTTTTCCAAACATCAACTAAGGCCCAAAGCTGGATAAGACCAGGGAAGAGTCAAATTCTAAAGCCTTAAAAAAAAAAGTCACTAACACTGTAATGTTATAGCATCTGTTATATTAGAGTAAACCTGCCTGACCATTCTGGTCTAATTAGATTCTGCTTTGTGCAGGGCTTTTTCTGTGTCTGTGAAAACTGAGCTGTGAAATAACTGAGGTGGGGATTTAGAGACTTGGTACAGCAAACTTCTTAATAAAAATGGCACAAACCGTTTGTGGGGAACCTGGCGCCAAACCATTCGTAGACGACCTGCTTCTGGGTCGGGGTTTCGTACGTAGCAGAGCAGCTCCCTCGCTACGATCTATTGAAAGTCAACCCTCCACACAAGTGTTTGCAAAACAAGGAAAAAAAATGGCACAAATGGGACTCTTCTTACTATTGTCACATATTAAATCTTATTTGATCCATTTTACTGTATTCCAAATTACAAACATCAGGTAGAAGATTGTAATTATACTTTTACTGGTTTTGTCATTAAGTTGTGTGTGGTTTTTTTTTTTTTGTCATTAAGTTTTAATCAAGCTGCTGCTACAGAAAAATGGTTAAGAGGGCAGGGCTCTTCTGCTTCTAAGTTTCCTTCACACAGTTATAGTTACTACAGCAGAATGGAAGTGGACACATCCGTAAGATATTGTTTCTAAGAAATGTGTATCAGACAATCCTATATCCAAGTAAGCGGACTACACAGCAATGACCAAACATCTCTGTACCTCTCTGACCACGTGTTTGTTTTCTAGTCCATTTTATTTTACCTGTAAAAATTTGTTTCTCCTAAATTCATCCATTTCTTTCTCTTGCTTTCAGCAACACTTTTATGAATCTGAATCAAAAAGTTTATGCTCTGTGAAACTAAAATAAGTTATTGAAACAGGAGAGTAGTACCTACATTCCTCAAGTATTTACTGATAAAAGTTTTTACTGAATGGCTTTGAGATGTTTTTAATGAAAGTTCAGAGATAGAGCCTCAGAACCAACATTTCCACAAACTTCCTACACTTGACAATGTTTTCAGCATACTAAACCATGACTAAATTTAAAATCATTCAAAAGTCAACATCAAGAGATGTTTCAACTATGAAGTCAATCTACATACCCGCTGCTAATAAATTCTCCACTTAAATTTCTCCAGGCATCACAAAAACTATCAAAAGGCATGTAACATCAGGTCTCACTACCAAAGGAACTACGGAAACCCTAAAAGACCTAATAAAAATGTCCTAGAATTGTATATTTCCACTCTTACAATACTTGTCTCCCAACTAAAGGCTACTTACAGCACCTCCTTTGTCTAGCGGTTCACACTCAGAATATTACAAGAGCTTCTACACTTTTTTTTCTTCTTTATTAAGGTATTATGTATGTGTCCTTATCTCCCCATTACCCCACCACCTCCCAACTCATGCCCTCACCCCGCTGGTGTCTGTGTCCATTGGTTAGGCTTATATGCATGCAGTCCTTTGATCTATGCCCGTTATCCCCACCCTCCCCTACCTTCCCTCTGAGGTTTAATGGTCTGATCGATGCTTCTCTGTCTCTGGATCTGTTTCTGTTCATCAGTTTATGTTGTTCATTATATTCCATAAATGAGTGAGATCATGTGATATTTATCTTTCTCTGCCTGGCTCATTTCACTCAGCATAATGCTCTCCAGTTCCATCCATGCTGTTGTAAATGGTAAGAGTTCTTTCTTTTTTATAGCAGCATAGTATTCCATTGTATGGATGTACCACAGTTTTCTAATCCACTCATCTACTGATGGGCATTTAGGCTGTTTCCAAATCTTAACTATGGTGAATTGTGCCGCTATGAACATAGAGGTGCATATGTCCTTTCTGATTGGTGTTTCTAGTTTCTTGGGATATATTCCTAGCAGTAGAATTACTGGTCAAATGGGAGTTCCATTTTTAGGTTTTTGAGGAAACTCCATACTGTTCTCCATGGTGGCCACACCAGTCTGCATTCCCACCAGCAGTGCACAAAGGTTCCTTTTTCTCCGCATCCTCGCCAGCACTTGTCATTAGTTGATTTGTTGATGATAGCCATTCTCACAGGTGAGATGGTATCATATTTTCCTTTTGATTTGCATCTCTCGGATGATTAGTGACTTTGAGCATGTTTTTATATGTCTCTTGGCCTTCCTTATGTCCTTTTCCGAAAAGTATCTGTTTAGATCCGTTGCCCATTTTTTGATTGGGTTGTTTAGCTTCCTTTTGTTAAGTTGTACGAATGAGCTTCCATATTTCAAAGGTGTCAGTTACAGCCCTGGCCAGTGTGGATCAATGATAAAGGGTGTCAGCCCATGCACCAACACCCCATCAAGGGCACAAACCTGGGGTGCAGGTTCAATCCTCATCCCTAGTCATTTGGGGTGAATGAGGGAGGCAACCATTCAATTATCTTTTTGTCATTGCTTTCCAATTTTACTTCATTATAATCAGCAACCAAATGATTGCATGATATTGTCTCTACACTATTTGTTTTAAGTTGCTTGTGGATTACTGGGTTATACATTTTAATTAATATTCCCAATATATGTCATAAAAATTAATAATCTTTGTTAGGTGCAGCTCTATACATAGCTATTAGATAACTCCTGCTGTTGTGTTGATAGGTAGATTACACTTTTAATCATTTCTCCTTATAATTCTGGAAATTCTTGTTTTATATTTTGAGCATGGGCTGTGTAGTACAGGTTCTGGTTCATTACATCTCTCAGGAGAACTGTTCCTTGTATCGTTATACAATGTTCTCTTTGGTTTTTGCTTTCAGTCTTTTTTGTGTGGTATTAACATTATTCTATCAGTGCTTCCAGTTAGTATCTCTGTATCAGGCAGGGTGGGTCAGAAGTAGAACCACTATGACTGATCAGAATGGTGGTTATAAGAATGTGAACAGTAACTGTGACAGCTGGGTAAGCAGTTTATGTACAACTTTAACTCCTGTGTCTAGTTTTGGGACAGAAGTCACAGGGCAGGGGATCAGGAAGGAAAGAGGGATGTAATATGGGGAAATCTAGGACAAACGCACGTTGTCTCTGAGTTGGTGAGGGTGACCTGCAGAACAGGCTGCCAACCTCACCACAGCACCCACACCTCTGGACTCAGATGGCAGAGAAGCTGAAGGGAGCTGCAGCAGCTGCCCGAGGCCCCAGGTCAGGGAGGAAGTGAATGAAGTACAAGCACGCCTGACCCTACACCAACCTTCCAGGCATAAACACACCTGCGTCACTTCCACCTTACGTAAACCTCTTGTACAAATGCTTCCTGTCGTCAGCCTCGCCTGGACCCACCTGGAAAGGGAGTTCTGGGAAAAAGTTTCAGCCCAGTTCTATGTGGACACAGTACAAAGCCACCACAATTTGCATGGATATTTTCTTCCCTCTTAATTTCATTCTTTCTTTTTCAGGCCAGTCTCTTGCATATAGCACACAGTTGGATTTTTCTTTCATCCTATCCAGAATCTATCTTTTAATGATCATGTTTAACCCATTTACATTTATTAAAATTTATAACTTTCATACTTAAAAATACTGTTTTTATCTCATTAAAAAATTAATTATCTGTAAGGAGACTGTGCATATATGAAGATACATGCATAATTATATTTCTGAAATAGTTTATATTCATGTTACTTACCACTTCTCCAGCAGAGGCAGCCAACATGTGCTTCACAGGCGTCAAATGCGAGGACGAATCCGTGTGCAAAAGCCATTTCACATAATCATAGGTGATAAAAAAGGCAGCAGCTGGAATTTAAACAAGCCAGTCTTTCACAACGTTAAGAAATACGTTTGTTAAAAAAAATTATAACTTTAGTTAATAAATTGACTTAACAAGATAAAAATAATAAACATATACTCTTTCCCTACTCCCCTCACTTTTGCAGAAGTTTCCAAACCCATATATTATGCCCGACCCTGGACTTAGGAAAATGCAGAAGACATGACACCTGCCCCAAAGGAGCCTACTAGATAACCTAGTATTTACCGTTTTGTACTAACAAATCACTTGACGTTTTTAGTAAGCTTTCTAGAAAGGGATATAAATATCCCTATACAAACATAAAAAAATCAGTATAGACAAGTTAAAATTGCAAACATAAACCTTAACTTAATAAAACACCTGATATTTTATTGCTGTTTATTCAAAATAATCATGGGTACTTTTTACTACATCAACCCACTTTACATCAAGGAGGCAATTAAAACTGGAAATCAACATCTCCAACAGCTACTCCTATTACTATGCACTGATCTCCGCTGCACAGAGGGCTTTACGGCCTGTATCATGAACCAAAAATGTTTATCACTTCCACAAAAGATAAGGCATAGAAAATAAATAAAAGACAAATTCGCCTTTTGGAAGGCATCTGAACATGTTATGTTAAAGTCTGAAACACACAGGAAAGATAGTGAAGCTTTACTGTTAACACTCTTGGGCTGCAAACAGATGCACATCCATGGAAGAGCAAAGACCCACGTAAGCAGTTTGATAAAGTCACCGCAGGTCCCTGTTTCCATCTGTGCTTCCTACTGTGGCCCGCGCACGCACTCCTTTAGCCACTCCTTAAAATACAACTGGAGCAGCTCCAACTGCATTCAGCTAAGCTCCACCTGCTACACAATCCGCCCTCCCACCCCCGCTGGAGAAGGGAGAAAGACTGCTAAAACTTCCAGGTTTTCAGGGTTAACCACCTCAACCTGGTCAGACCATATTGCTCCTTTCATGACAGACAAAGTCCTTTAGAACTGTAAGCCCAAGTCCCCTGGGTGACACCCATGAAAGCCCTTGCTAATTGGAAATGATGGCAAAATAAGGTGCCAAAGGAGGCTCTAGGCAAGTTACAACAAAGAAGATGGGTGGGCTGTGGGATAGCTATAGGCTCTTGTAGCTCTTAAAAAAACAAAACAAGCAAAGCAAAACAGAAAAACACTTCTATGGCTTTTCTACATTCCCTTCTAAAGGGAGTAGGGATGCATAATCAGGTCTTTCTGTCTCCTCTTTCGACCTTCAGTCCCCTTCACCACCACCAACTCACCCCCGCAGAATACATTCTCAAAAAAAGGCTACAGCCACTTGTGGGGGCCCTGACCAGAGTCCACTGGAGGTTCAAGGCCTACTCACTATACACATGCGAGCAGCCACGGACACAGTAGTATTACTGTGTTAAAGGCCCCTTTGCCCTACACAGGCACCAGGCGATGACGCAGCAGGAACAATGTTCCCCTTATAGAGCCTGCTCATGTTAACGTAGCACGAGCTTCACTAGCTGGCAGGAGCCTCTTGTTTGAGGATGTATACAAGCTGCCAGATGAGCCAGTTTTTGGCTACTTTGTTCGAAATTACCCATGTCCCACTTACCTACTGCCTCCATGTATAGAGGGGGCAAGTCCCTGCTGAGGAACTTGCCCCCAACACCACTGAATGTTACTGACTAGGACTTGAACCAAAGCCACAGGGAAAAATGGTAATTGTGCCACATAGAAAATTTCAATTCACCAACAATTTACAGAAAACCAAAAAGACCATTTCTGAAACTCTGACACTATTTAGCCCCATCTCCAATCCAGTGATGTTCTGTGGATGGCAAAAGATAAAAAAATAAAGGGGCCTGGCAGGAGCACCACTTTATCACACACACACAACTGTGAAACCACATCTGTGTGTAAACTCCTGCTGGCGAGAATCTAAACCAGTGCTGGGAGATGAATGGAGCGCCATGTGCTTTGCAGACTGCGGTCCACACTACCCCTCCCAACAGGAATTCCCAGGTGCAATCTTCAAGGAAAAGACATCTTTAGGACAATGATGGCAATGCCATAAAAATGAAACAGACCTGGCCAGGTGGCTCAGCTGGTTGGAGCATCATCCCATGCACTAAAAGGTTTCAGGTTTGATTCCCAGTCCAGGCACATGCCTAGATTTCAGATTATCGATAGATCCCCAGTCAGGGCGCACACAGGAGGCAGCCCATCAATGCTTTTCTCTCTCCCGTGTTTCTCTCTCTCCCTCTCCCTTCCTTCCTCTCTCTAAACATAGCCTCCGGTGAGGATTAAAAACAAAAACTGATGAAGATAGGGACCTAGTAATAGGTATCCAGTAACATATGCCTTTCTATTTCCTTGTTCAAAGATTCCCAAATTTGTCTGCTGATTAAACCACCTGGAGATTTTTTTTTTTTTTTAAATTTAAACTTACAACTCCCAGCTCACAGCCCATCAATTAAATCACGATCACTGGAAGCGGGACACAGACAAGAAAACTTCACAAAATCTACTCAGCCGACCACAGGGCTGCTATGTCAAATTTAGGAACCTGCCCCCCCCCCCCACACACACACATACACAGCTATCTTGGCATTGAGTGGGTGCTCAACAAAGACATGCTATAACCAATAACTGAAAGCATTGAGACAAATACAAACTCAAGGATAATCCCTAAACAGTTTGCGGTTCTCAGGAGGGATGGAGCAGGGGAAAAGGAAACAAAGGGACCAATTACTGTTTTGTCCGTGCACTGCAAATCTCTATGTGAATGCTGTGCTCACGTGTGGACACAGGTGGACAGTCAAATGTCAAGTGAACATGAAAGAATTTCTCATAAATTATCTTGAGAAAACAGAAATCGAGCCCAGGGTTTAAGAATATCCTACAGCAGAGGCTCTATAACTGTGTGTGTGTGGTGGTGGCAGCTATTTTTTTGTTTGCTTGGTTGCTTTCCAATGCCACACAAAACATCAGCAAACAATTAAAATGAGGTAAATATCTGAAAAAAGTATATCAACAAGTGGATTAAATAGGACAGATGATACTGATTCTAGAATAAGAAGCCATACATCACATAATGTGACTTTAAACCTAAAACTAAAGCAAGACACTGGAAGAGAGTATCGAGGAGGCTGGTAGAATTGGTTGCATCAGCTAAGAGCAATTTTGTGAAGACAAAAAAGGTGTAATGCCTCTTAGATTCATCGGCTTCAAAGACTCTCCGAGGCAGTGGCTATTAAACTCACCTTCGCATTGGAATCACATGGGAAGCTATTAAAACCTTGCAAAGCCCAGACCAATTAAACTTCTGGGTATGACACAGGCATCAGTAATTCTTAAAACTTCTCAGGAGATTTCAATGAGCAGGCGAGGTTGAGAACCTGCTGTACGGCATCACAATCAATGTCAGAACACTTTAAGGATTCTAACTGGAAATGTTAACAACAAAAACCATTTTTAAAAGATTGCTCATATTTTTTCTATTACAAACACAGTGGAATGGGATCTATAGCTGATTAAAATAATTGGTTAATGAATGGAAAACAAATTCAGAAGATAAGCCACCACAGGTAAGAAATTCTATTGTAGTACCACCACGCACCAAACTGAAAATAATCCTATTATCTTGGCTTTATGACAGGAGAATACCAATACAATTTTTACCATTAGGAAAGGATCCAATAGCAGTAGAAGGAACGCCAGCATATATTCCACGAAAACCACCAGCCTTATTAAATCCTTGGGGACTCTGCAGCCGCGTTTTAATGGTATCCAGAGGAAATAATATCAAATCAACAGAGACACCTGCTACCCCACCAGCCTTGAAAAAAAGAGGGTGGGGGAAGAAAAGGGAAAATAGGTTACAATAAAATAAGCTCTCTGCCATTTGGGGGCAGTGATACGAAGGTAGTCTTTAAGCATATTTCTCATAATTGTCAGTTCATGGACTATTTGGCACAGTCAAAAGACCTGCTCCCTAAATCTAGAGATTTTCTAGGGGAAACCACCATTATTGTACTATATTTTCAAATTGTAAGTTTTTAAATAAATTTTTCTTTTTAAAGTGAATTTTACAATTTATTTCTAAATAAATTTGGCATTGTCAAAAGACGTGCTACCTAAATCTAGAGATTTTCCTGGGGAAACAACCATTATTGTGCTCTATTTCTAATACTTTCACATGGTTCAAAGTCTCCTTCCTTGTTCCTGCTTTGCTTGTTTTCTTATTGCATCCTTCCAAAGTTACTTTAGACATATACAAGCAAATATAAATATGTATTTTATTTTCATTTTTAAAAAATAAAAGGTGCATACAATATACACTCTGCTGAATCTTATTTTTTTCACTTAACTTATCTTGGTGATATTTTCATATCAGATCAAATGTTACATTTTTGTCTTCTTAACTGAGTGGTGAATCTGCAGTAAGACTTTTTTTTGAGACTTCTATTTTTAAACAGGTTATGAGTCTTATGAATCTAGATCCCTATTTTAAGAAGAGTGTATCTAAGGTTTGCTATTTTGTGTATATTTGAAAATTCCTTGGTAAATGTTTTAATTAAGTGAGTCAATGGGGGAAACAGAACTAAATCCCTAAAGGACATTAAACCCTGGCCTAGACTATCATCACCTCCTGAGAGGCACCATGTTGCTTAGGGATGGAAAGCTGCTCTTCAATAAGTTTAACCCTCAAGAGGATTTGGAGCATACGGAGAGTATTTTAAAACTGATTACACCTCAGTCAAATAAAAAAAAAATACTAAAAAATATAAACTCAAACACAGTATCAAAGAAAAGTCAACACACATGGTCTGAAAGCATGACATGAGATGTGCATGGAAACCAGCTTATGCAGATGGAAGAAGGGTGGAGAGGAAATTCACTGTGCTCCCACATAGGAATTCTTACACAACTGTCAACTTTTGCTATCTTGTGAAGTGTGAACCACATGACTATATTACCTATTCAAAGGGTCAAAACCTATATATTCCAAAACTTAGACTAAAAAGAATTTGTATTATTCAAACACACAGGCAAAATTCGAAATGATCAGCTGTTCCCACCTTTTGGGTTACAAAATGCTTGCACCCAGCAAACACTCTGCTCTACTTACCACTCACAACAAAACCACTGCAAGAGATCACTGGAAAAAAGAAATTGCTCTGATGAGAACGCCAATCATTAACTAGCACAGGTAAATATTCAAAATTAGTTTATACTAGAAACATTAATACTGTCCTATATGATGGGCCTGAGACACAACAGAACCTCAAAAACCATGGAAGTCTCTCTGTGAAGGACCTAAAGAGATGTCACCAAAGAGCAGAGATGTGCTAGTAGAGAATCACATGTGGTAGTAAATCACATGTGGTAGGAAAAGAATGACAAAGGACATGGGATTTCTCTCTGGATAAAAGGTAGCCTTTTCTAAGTCATGGGAAAAGGCTCATAAGTACCATAGAAAATATTTTTTAAAAAGTCAACCTTCTTCCTATTTTTTAAACATTTTACAAAATTCAGTATATATATTAAAATATTTTGCCTGCCTCTTTATTTTCTCAAAGCTCAAGAACTAATCCTGCTGAGAATATATTGTATATGACTGGATTCCTTAAGAATATTCTGCACTTCATTATAATTTTCTCTTTAATCTTAGGAAAAGGTTCCGAAAGTGCTTGATATCTACACCTCTATCTTAATCAATAAGTTAATTATACTTTTGCTCTCTTAGGCTACTTTGCATTCATTGAATCTCTGATCCTCCTTCATCAGGATTCTTTATTTGCTGAGAATAAAATGATCAGAATCAATCTACTTACTAGTGAAACATAAAACAAGTTACTAACTGCTTCCACAGATTTTAACCTTCTGAAACTCAAATGTCATTAAAATTCATGAGACTGAAAAACAACTACAATGCAAACAAACAGGTTACAGAGAGCAGGAAGAATACCTATGTATTTATCCACATTGCAACATCTTTAAGATTTAAACAAAAACTTTAGTAGTGCTTATAATTTTACATCAGTGTTGTTTTGTTCATAACTATATACAAAATACACATGCCAACATCAGTTAAATTACAAGAAACTCTACCAAATTATTTTATTTTTTTATCTGAGAATTGTGTTTTATTTTTTTTTCTGTGTATTTTATTTATGATCATTTATCATAAAGGTTCTCAGGCAAATGATTTAGTTTCAAGATTTATTGGTAGCTTAACTGAAAATGGTAACTTAACTAAACAAAAATCCAAAGATATAGAACAAAACTCAGGCAACCATAAAGCTTTAGTACAGCACAACAATTTATTGTGACCTTAATGTCATATAGATAAAATACACAACTCTACCTCAAGTTAAAAAACATAAAAAGTGCTGGCAGGCTGTAGAGAGGAAGCGTCTAATTAGCGCTTTGAAATTACTCTGGGAGCTGATAAAAGTCAAGATTATCGTGCTATAAAACCTTTATTTCTCAAAAGGAGACTGCGCAACAACCGAAAAGAAAAATCAGTGCCAAAACCAAATCAGGATAAAACCAAACCACTTGTCTAATTTAACTAAGCAAACCAGCCTAGGCCACTGGCCTAAACCTCGGCTAAGAGCCACCCCTATTCCTACAACCCCCCACCCCCTACCCAAATATTAACGTGGCTTCTCTGGGGAACATCTCTCCTTGACCTTCTGGGGTTTTCTTCCACAGGGACTTTAAGCTTGTTAGTTCACTGCTGCTGCTTCCTGGTATTTGTCTCCTCCCCATTCCCCATTCATCCACCCTGCAGTGCTCCTGCCACTTCTACAACGATGGCAGTCACTTGTGTAAAATGCAAACTTCAATTCCATCTGGCCACTGCCCAACCTGTAAGTCCTCCAAATCTTCACCAGCCTCAGGACAAAGAGCAAAATCCTCTAAGGCTCTGGAAGTTCTGCCTCTCCACCCTAACTCCACCTTGAGTTCTGTTCCCCAAGTCACCTGATGTTCCTCATTGCTTGGACTTTGCACAATTGTTCTCTATCTCCAAGTCTAGGATTAGACGCCCTTGTTTCCAAATACTGATCACAATTTTAATTCTATAACTGAGCATCCCATTATTGTCTGTATGTCCCACTAGACTATAAGATCCATACCTGTGATGTTCATTAATGTTTCCAGTACTAGTACATAGCAGGCACTCAATTATTTGAATATATGAATTAATGATTATAAGAAAGGGCTCCTACCCATATTTTAGCGGGTACAGCAAGTCAACCTTAAAAAAGTACAGATTTTTTAAAAATTTGCAAAACTTAGGATCAAGCAATTCCCAAAAGAAAAATATAAATGGCCAACAAACTTATGAAAAGGTGCTTCCCCATCATTAATGACCCAATAAGAACAAAATAAAACATTTCCCAATTAAACTAGAAAAGATTAAAAATATAAAGTTATGGGCATTGTAAAGGGAAACAAATTATGAATGCCTACTAAAGGGCAATTTGGTAAAATGCAATTTTAAATTGAAAACCCTTAACTCAGCTATTTTATTTCTACATATTTCTCTCACTCACAGAAATGCATAAATATACAAGAATATTTACTGCAGCATCATAGCTAAAGCAAAAAATAACCTAAACCCAGGAATCTTGTTGGATCAATTCGAGTATCTGAGTACTGTACTGCCACACAGCCTTGAAGAGAATGAGTCAGTTGAATTCAGTGGCACAGAAACATGTTAGATTACTAAATTAATCAGCTTAGCTGTGCAGCAAGCAATATACGCTACCTCATCCTGCCTTTCCAGGAAGTAACTCTGTGTATGCGGAGTTAGAAGTCCAGAAGCAGACACACTAAATCACTAAATTATTAAAAGCTATTACTTCTGTGGAAAGAAACTCAGGATGAAGAGAATTTTTACTATCTTGTAAATTTTTGTATTGATTAAAGTGGTTATGAGTATTGCAGACATATAAACGTAAAGCTATTCAAAATCCCTTAAAATAAACCGTAATTCCTGGTTGCATTTGGTATGGAATAGCACTCAGTAAGGGAAACTAGGAACCTCGATTACAGGCCCGCTGTAAACCACCTGCCGGGCTTCATTTCACTCCAATGCACCTGAGCCTCTCATGACGTCTGAAACTTCTCATCTCTGTGTTCCTGCTTAGATCTCTCTCTCAACCTGGAATGCCCTTCCTATGGCCGTCGTCTCCTGAAGCCAGCAGACCTCCAGTTCCCCTACTGTCCTCCCCACACACACACACACTCACACACACACACTCACACACACTCACTCACACACACACACTCACACACACACACACTCACTCACACACACACACACACACTCACACACACTCACTCACACTCACACACACACTCACACACTCACACACACACACTCACACACACACTCAAACACACACTCACACACACATACACACCCCTGCCAAAGGATAAAAAAAAAAACATTTGTTCTGAATTATGTGATATGACTAGACAATAAGTACTGCTCAAATTATTTTGATAACATTTTTTACAAAGAAACAAAATCTTTTTTTAAAAAAAACTTTATTGTTGAGAGTATTACATGTTTTAAATTACAGCATCCTAATAGTTTTACTATTTTTTCATTTCTCAATTACAGTCGACAAGAGTTTTTAATTTTTAACGCTGACAAGAAGTGTTAAAAGTCATTAAATTAACATAAATTTTCTCATCATTAAGACCATTTGGCATGACTTCCACTTGCACTTTCATCTTCACAGCATTACACCACCACTGCCAAAGTCCTTCCACCTGCAACCTAGGACTGGTTAAAAGTAAAAGTAGCTGTGGCTGGAATGCTTTTGGTTTCATGGTAGAACAAGCCAGGTGAGTAGATGAATTACAAAGTCAATGAAATAGTGAGGTACTGAAGAGGAGAGAAAGAAGAGGCAGGCAGAAAAAATAAACAAGTGGGACTACATCAAACTAAAAGCTTCTGCCTAGCAAAAGAAACCATCCTCAAAATGAAAAGGGAACTCTGTATTGGAGAACACATTTGCCAATGATACATCTGATAAGGTCTTAATTTCAAAAATATATAAAGTACACAACTCAACAAAAGGAAGACAATCTAATTTTTTTTTAAAAAAAGGGCAAAAGACTTGAATAGACATTTCTCTGAAGAGGACATACAAATGGCCAAAAGATATATGAAAAAAATGCTCATCACTAATCATCAGAGAGATGCAAATTAAAACAATGAGCTACCACCTCACACCTGCCAGAATGGCTACCACCAATAAGTCAACAAGTGCTGGCGAGGATGTGGAGGAAAAAAATCCTCATGCACAGCAGATGGGAATGCAGACTGGAGTAGCTACTGTGGGAAACAGTGTGGAGTTTCCTCAAAAAATTAAAAATGCAACTGCCATTTGACCCAGTTACCCCACTTCTGGGAATATATCCTAGGAATCCTGAAACAAAGAATATATGCACCCCTATGTTTATAGCAGCACAATTTACAATAGCTAAGATCTGGAAACAGCCCCGTGTTCATCAGTACATGAGTGGATAAAAAAGCTGTGGTACATTTACACAGTGGAATACTATGCAGCAGTAAAACACACACACATACACACACACACACACACACACAAAACAAAAACAAACAAACAAAAAAAAACCGCAAGAATCTCTTACCCTTTGAGACAGCATGGGGGGCCTGGAGATGATTACGCTTACACTAGGTGGGAAAAGCCAGTCAGAGAAAGACAAGTATCACATTATCCCATTTATACATGGAATCAAATGAACACAAGTTTATGAATAAAATAGAGCCAGAAGCATCAAAACATGAAACATACAGATGAATCTCAGATGAAAGGAGGATGGGGATTAACCAAAGAAAGTATATACATACATATTTATTGCTCATGAACACAGACAATAGCATGGAGAAGGCCTGGGGCAGGGCAGGAACCGGATGGTTGGGGGCAAAGGGGGGAAAAAAGGGAGGACATCTGTAATACTCTCAACAATAAAGATTTTTTTAAAAATGAATGAATGAAAAAATATAAAAATAAAGTGAGTTAGCCAATATTTTTCCATCTCTGTCCCACCTATTTCTGAGTACTTATCTTCTTTTTTGTTTTGTTTTGTTATTATATTTTATTGATTTTTTTACAGAGAGGAAGGGAGTGTTGTGGCCGGCAAGACCCGGTCGAGGCGGGGCTCCAGATGGCCAGCAAGACCCTGTCGAGCAGGGCTCCAGGCCAGGGAAGGAACGAGCAACCAGACCCACAACAAATAACGTAGCATAACTATTAGTCATAAAATAGTTCTGTTGCAAGGCTCAACCCCCAGGCAGGCACATTCTGTTTCCAGTAGCCGCAAGGCAGGACAAACAGACCAAACCAGGTGAAACAGAGACTGCTTAAGCTGAAAATAAACCCCCACCCCAAGTGTTGTATGAACTTTAAATGTTACTGTACTAGTGGAATTTTTCTATAACTTATAACTGACCTTTCTTTGTTAAAACTTTTAGCCAATCATAATCTGCCAGGCATCCCTAAGTCGGGGATAAAAGTAGCGTGCTTAGAGTGGGTCGGGGCTCTCGTTGCTCGCTGCTGTGTCAATTGAGACGTGAGCCCGGACTCCAGTTCGTAATAAAGGCTTCCTAAATTCCAATTTGGCTGACTGGGGGGTTGTCATTCGCGGGTCGCCCGTAACAGGAGAAGGATAGAGAGTTAGAAACATCGATGAGAGAGAAATAGCAATCAGCTGCATCCTTCACACTCGCTAACTGGGGATGTGCCCACAACCAAGGATCCCAGGTTTGATCCTTAAGTCCGCAGGCCTACACTAAGCCAAACCAGTCAGGACAGTACTTATTTTTTGGGTTTGGTCTCTTTGCCATTGTATTTCTAAGGATAAACACAGTGCCCAGAATACATGGCAGATAAATTGTGTGCTGAATGAATAAAATGATTTGTCTTTAGTTGGAATAAAATCTAACCTCCTTGAAACTTGTACCCCTTGACCCAAATTTCAACCTCTGTAACTACATTAAAAAATAAAAGTATACCTTCCAACATGTGTACTACACTTTAATAAATTTTAAAATCATAGTTCTGTTAACTTGGACACTCGTCTGTTTTTAGCAGCTGCTACTGACTTCAGAGAGAGTATCAAGGAGCAGCAAAGGGCATGGAATCCCAGGTCACATTGCTAGGGTTGGCATCTATTCTCCAACACTTACTTACCTACAGGAAAGTGATTTCCTTAGTGTGATTGTGGACAAGTCCTAACCTCTCTGTACCTCAGTTTTGCCATTTGGAAAACTCGAATAAGACTTCAACTATGACAGAATTAATTGAGACCATGTATGTAAAAGGCTCACCCCAGTTCCTAGAGCGACGCTATCTGTCAAAACTACTACTGCTGCCCTGGCAGGTGTGGTTTAGTCGGCTGGAGCGGTGGGCGGCCTGTACACCCAAGGGTGGTGGTTCGATTCCCAGTCACTGCACAAACCTAGACTGCGGGTTCAATCCCCATATGGGAAGCAACCAACTAATGTTTCTCTCTCCCCGTCCCTCCCTCTCTCTCCAGAATGAATGAAAAACATATCCTCAGGTGAGGATTTAAAAAAGAAAGAAAAAAAAAGCACCACCACTGATAGATATATCACTGACTGGACAGGAAAACTCCTTAAAAGTGGTAACATAAGCCTTTGTCTGCATCTCTAAAACCTGGCTCACACAGTCTCACTGAAACCGGTTTGGCTCAGTGGATAGATTGTCAGCCTGCGGCAGCTGATAAATGTTTCTAACTCTCTCTCTCTCCCTTCCTCTCTGTAAAAGAATCAATAAAATATTTTTAAATAAATAAATAAGTAAACAAAACCTAGCTCACCCAGTCTCAACAGGTCCAGATGGAGAACCATCATCTGGCCTAGGCGCCCCTCCCTTCACCCTATCAGGTAACAGTGCAACCTGCCCTGGCCATTTTCACCACAGCCCTTCCTCCATTTGCCTCCACCCCCGGACCACGCGGGGGTTACCTGCTCACCCGGTTATCTCCAACACCTGCAGCAACGGACGTTCCCTAATTCAAGGGCACTCCGCTGGGCCTCCTTTTTTAAAGTTGTTTTTCCCCCCTTCTCACAACAAGCCTATCTCTGTTTATGCACTGTCATATCTAGAATCCCCTACTGGACCTGCCCTGAGAGGCTTCAAAACATTTATTAAAAGGACTGTTCCTTTCTTATGTTAGTAAGTGTTGACTCTAGTTGTTTTCTAAGGAATGAAGCACTACTGTCTTACAGGAAGCAGAATAACCAGGTTCATTACAGAATGAATGAATGAATGAATGAATGGGAGTGTCATTTCTCCGGGACTGAGAACAAATACAGAAAATGACCACATGGCCTTGGACAGAGGGCTCTGAGCGCCCTGGGTAAGCTGTTTGGTTCTGTTACCATATTCCTATATGTGACGCCAGGTTCTCCGGTGGAGTTATAGTAATTGGGGCTTTTAAGTAGGGAAACGGTCTCCGTGCGGAAAACGGGGAGTCAGGCGGCGCCTCCCCCGTCTCCTCCCCGCAGCGGGTACGGAGGACTCGGTCCGCCAGAGACGGCGGCGGCCCGCGCCCCGCGCCCGCTCCCAGGCTCGGCGACCGGGGACTAGAGGGCAGTTCGTGCCAAACCGGAAGACATCCCAGTGCGGGGGCCCCGACCGGTGCCCCGCCGGCCTCCGGCCTCCGAGAACCCCTCCACCGCCCGCACTCACCACCAGCGAGGCCGTGAACCCGGGCCGGTCCATGGCCCGAAGGCACCGCCCGCGCTAGAACCCGCTATGGAGCCGAAGCATGTCGCGGCCTCGGGCACTGGACGCCGCCATCTTGAAGGCGGGGTCTGAGGGGGCGGTACTTCCGCAGTCACGTGAGGGCGAATCACAACAAATACACGTGCAACCCAGTCAGCTGGGCGGGGCGCTCTGAGGGGGCGGGGCCTAGGAGTGTGATTGATGGAGCGGGAAGTACTACTCTCCGCCTCCTTCCCTGGCAGCGGCCCGTGATTCCGCGAGAAGACGGAGAAACTCTCGCGAGCAAAGAAGGCTGGGCTGGGATCCAGGAGAGAGAACGCCTCCAAGGGCAGCGTGGAGCGAAGTGCGGGGCGGAGGCTGGAGTGGAGGGAGGGAGCATAGGAGGGCAGAACTGGGGGCGAGGATTCTCTTTTTAATCTGTTATTTTTGTCTTATATCTTCCGAATTACTACAAAACACACTCAACATCAGATTATGATATAGAAAAATGCTTAAAAAATAGCATCCTCCACTTGTTACTGGCAGTTATTACACTTATTAATTTACTTCTTCAATTATTTGCTGGTTCATCTTGTCCACTGTGCACACCTAGAAGACCACTCTGAGACAGGCTGAGCACTCCTGAGGTTACCTAGTGGCTTACTACTGTGTTAGCAGTACCTGACACTTCGTAGACACTCAACATAACTTGTGAGTGAATGAATGAATGAATGGTACAGAGCCTGGCGTGTAGTAGACATTTAAGTGTTGCCTTCCTAGAGTTCCGTTAGGGGCTTTGAAGGGCTGTAGAGTTGAATAAGGGGAGAGCCTCTGGGATGTTAGTTTTCATTTGTAGCATAGAGCGGGGCTATTGAGAAAAAACCCTCAGAGAGTTCATTGATCAGGTGCATGCTTTAGGAAAGTAGTTTGGATCTAAGTATTAGCAACCTGACAATGTCTGTAACATTTAACTCCGCAAAGATAACAGGAAGCCACTTACACATTAAACAGAAGAGGAATGGTTAGGTAAACTTTGTTAGATGCACTTCATGGACTAAATAGTGCTTGTGAAGAGCATGTGTTATAATAACATGATAATGCTTATGAGATTAAAATAAGAAAAAATATAGCACAGTACATATGCACATCTGTTTATTCTTAATTAAAACTACTATTAAAAATAGTATTCCTAATTAAAAATACTATTCCATTCATTTTCTCAAAAGCTGCATTATTCTCCAAGACAATACAAAATAATTTTGATAGTAGCATTACAGGCATACCTCAGATATATGAGGGGTCTGATTCCAGACCACTGTAATAAAGTGAATGTTGCAATCAAGTGAGTCTTAATCTGTTTTTGCAGGTGGGAGATCTTGTATTCCATTTGTTAAAAAAAAACAAAAAAAAACAACAACACCTGAGCTCAATAAAGCACAGCACAACAAAACAAGATATGCCTGTACTTTTCCTCCTATTTTTATAATATAAAAAAGTATTTTAGATTTTTAAAAATAGCACACCCTTTATCGCATTCTTCAAGTCAAGGTATGATAAAGACTTCTCACTGTTATGAGACCTGGCTGCCTCTTCAGACCTCATTCATTTTCCTAACATTGCCCACAGTTTTCTTCAAAATCCCTGTTAGGTGTTCTCTATTTGCTGCTAGAACTCTAACAACAGACACTATAATTCAATATTAGTACACATATACCAATTAGTTAGGACCTGGCATGACTTGACAGCTTAAAACAACAAACATTTACCATCTCAGGGTTCCTGTGGTCTGAAATCTGGAGGAGGCCTAGCGAGGCATGGCTGGCTCAAAATCTCTCCTGCACATGCAGTCATGCTGTGAAGGCCAGGCTGCAATTCCATCTGATGGCTCAAATGGGGGAAGACCCATTTCCATGACCTCTCACATAGTTGTTGGCAGATGTCAGTCCTAGAGGATGTTGACTGAGTGGCTCAGTGTTTCCTTGTCTGGTGGCCAGGGTCCTCCTTTAGTTCCTTGCCAGATGGGCTTTTCCATACAGGAGCTTGCAACATGGCTACCCAACCTCACCTGAATAAGCAAACAAGAAAAAGTGGGAGAGAACACCCAAGATGAAAGCCACAGGATTTTGCAACCTAATCTCTGAGGTGACATCCCTTCACTTCTGCCAGTCACACTCAAGGGCAGGGATGACACCGGGCATGAATACATGGCAGCAAGATACAAGAGGGGCAATATTTGAGGCAACATATACTTTTTTTAATATAAATTCTTTATTGTTGAAAGTATTACATATGTCTCCTTTTCCCCCCATTGATCTCTCCCCAGCCATTTCCAGCCCCCAGCATATGTCCCTCCACTGCTCCTGGCTATGTCCATTGGTTGTGCTTATATGCATGCATACACATCCTTTAGGTGAGCTCTTATACTCCCCTCCCACCCAAGGCAACATATAATTTACAATGTACCCCAAAACACTGCTTGATGACTGGGCACATTAAAAAGGATCTTGCCATTTTCTTATTTATTTATTTATTTATTTATTCATTTATTTTTGTTAATCCTCATCCCAGGATATGTTTCCATTGATTTTCAATAGAGTGGGGGGAAAGACAGGAGGAAGGGAGAGAGGGAAGTAAAGAGGGAGGGAGGGAGGGAGAGAGAGAGAGAGAGAGAGAGAGAGAGAGAGAGAGAGAGAGACATTGATGTGAGAGAGACACATCCCAGGGTGGGGATCGAACCTGCGACCCAGGTACATGTCATTGACAAAAAATGAAACCTGAGACCTTTGGTGTGCAGACCAATGCTCTAACCACTTAGCAACACAGACCAGGGCCATTTGCTTTTGGTATTATCGGCCATTACTAAGGAATAATTATTATTGCTATGCCTATTATCCTCATATGAATCTTTTGTTTCTGAACTGTCTCTAGCTGAGCAAGTTAATGTTGACCTGCCAGGATTTGACAAAGAATGATTCAATTCTTTGATGAATTAATATCTGCCAATATTTTATTAAATATTTGACCAAAGGAAAAGCTGAGCTGTGGCTTGGTTTCCAAGATATCTTATATAATAAAACCCTAATATGCAAATGAACCAAACAGCAGAACAACCAGCAGAATAACGGGTCGCTATGATGTGCACTGACCACCAGGAGGCTGGAGCTCAACACAGGAGCTGCCCCCAGCCCATAGGCCCCAAGCCAGCCAAGGCAAGTGTCAGCAGGGGACTCCAGATTGTCCTACTGGTCACCCGTAGAGGGAGGCAACAGGCAGTGGGAGGTAGGGGGCAGGGCCGGTGAGCCAGCAGTGCGAGGCCGGCCAAGGAGGGTGCCAACAGGGACCCCAATTGCCCTGCTGGTCGCCTCACAGATTGGCCCTGATCACCGCCCAGGCCTAGGGACCCTACCTGTGCACAAATTTCTTGCATCGGGGCCTCTAGTATATAAATAGCCAGGATGAAACTTGCTCAGTTAATTTTTATGTTTTTTGACAAAGATCTCTGCTCTATTCATTGTACAAATTATCCTAAAACATTGTGGCTTGTGCACTTTCTGCCCATCAGTTTGGCAAGCCTGTCACGTTGAAATACAACACGGAGATGCCCTTGCTGTAATTGCTATCCTCTCTGAAGTGGCCACAGATTATTATGAGTCACCCCGCAACAGTTCCCTGACATCAGTGACGACAGCAAGTGGTTTTTCTCAGCCATTGTTATATCCAAGGACAAAGTGAGCCGTCTTTTTCTTTGTAGTACAGGAAATAATGAAAAAAAAACAACAAACCATAATTAGGACTCATGATCTTCTCATTATAGGAAATTTAAGCAAAAGTGTCCACCATTTAACCACAGTTTTCTGGATAAGCACAAATAAGAACTCTTTATACTTCTTCAAATTCCAGCAGCAAGTGCTCAGCACCTATTACATGTCTAATAGAGCCTTTTTTCTGTATAAACATCTTACTCTCACAACTTTATTTTATCACTAGAGGCCTGGTGCACAAAATTTGTGCACTGGGGGGGGGTGTCCCTTTGCCCAGCCTGCAACTTCTCATAATCCATGACCCCTGGAGGATGTCCACCTGCCCGGGGGCAATCAGGCAGTCAGACATCCCTCTGGCAGTCTGGAGCTCTTACAGTCCAGGACCCCTCCATCCTTACTGTCCCCCTATAGCAGAGGCAGGAAAGGCTCCTGTCACCATTGCAGTGCTCGCCAGCCATGAGCCTGACTTCTGCTCATTAGTGCTGCTGCAGAGGTAGGAGAGGCTCCCACCACCACCACTGCACTCACCAGCTGTGAGCCCTAATGGTCAGTATACATCATAGTGACCGGTCATCTGCCGGTCATTCTAGTCACTCCATCATTCAGTCAATTTGCATATTAGGGTCTTATTATATAAGAGGCCTGCTTCTGGTCCAATTTCTTATCTATCCTTGATGCCCAAACCATTGCCTAACCTCTCAGAGACATCCCTCTTCGCCGATCCTTTCTATAAAATGTGTTGGTTTAGACCTTTAAAAATCATAACAGAATGGTTATGAATGTTATGATCCTATATAATAAAATCCTAACATGGTAAATACCTGGTAGTACAGTCATCTGTTCAACCAATCAAAGCGTAATATGCTAATGATATGCTAAGGCCACTCAACTGCTCACTATGACATGCACTGACCACCAGGGAACAGTCAAAAGGTTGATCAATCGCTATGATGTGCACTAACCACCAGGGGACAGACACTTTGACCAGTGGATTAGCTTGCTGCCGATCAGGATTGAGGGAGATGGGCCAGACATGCCCTCAAGTCCTCCAGCAGTCCCTCCCCAGCTGGCCAACCTCCTGCATCCCTCCCTGGTCCCAATTGTGCACTGATGGGATCCCTCGACCTGGCCTGAGCCCTCTTGCAATCCAGGACCCCTTGGGGGATTTCGGAGAGCTGGTTTCAGCCTGATCCCGCAGGCCAGGTGGAGGGATCTCACTGGTGCATGAAATCATGCACCAGGCCTCTAGTTATGTCATAAAAACCTTCTCCTGACTCCATATCCTCATTTCCAGTTCACCAGCCAGCTCTGCAGGAGTAGAAGAAACTGCAACCATTTTATGTCAGGCCGCTGTAGACGACTGGCCCATTTCCCTATTT